TCAATTTTGATTTGTGACAGGGAGCATTATCCTGCATAAAAATGAACTTGGTGGGGTCGATTTGCACCCTTACAGAAGAAGGGAGCAGACAAGGCTCTAAAATTCTCTTCTGCTGCTCACTCCTGAGGGTCTTTTTAATAGATTTTATGAAACCAGTTCCATGAAAAGAAAAGCACCCCCAGAACATTATACTGAACGGATGCTTGACAGTACTTACTGCTAAATTCAAAGAGCTTTCAAAGCTTCTTCTTCGGATTTTAGATCACCTATCCTTTGAATTTAGCTCAACTTTCGTTTCATCAAACAATCGGCAAAAAAGTTTTTAAGTAAAGAAAATCAGGTGAGTTACTTTTATCGAACAGTACTGTGTATATATATATATATATATATATATATATATATATATATATATAGATAGATAGATAGATAGATAGATAGATAGATAGATATTGTGCGTGTGTATATTTTGGCAACATGTTTTCATTAAATAATTCAGACAGTTTCCGTCTACTTATTTTTAACAGGATCCTTTCGTAACTACGGACAAGTTTCTTAGTATCCTTATTAAAAGAAGAAAAAAAATTACCATGCTGATGCATATTAAATATAATTCCGAGGACTTTCGACATTAGCACAATGTCATGATCAGGGTCTTGTTTTTTCTAAGACAAAAAATTGTTTCGTTCGTCATTTTTCGAAGATAAAATTGTTCTGTTCATCTGAAAATTAAATTTTTTGTCGTAGAAAAACATTTTTTTTTACTTCTATGCAAAGGAAGTAACTTCTGTGATTTCTTTTTAAAAGATTTTTTTAAAATTTAAATCTTTTTAATTGTAGTATTTTAATTTAGTATTTTTTTATATTAGACTTTGCTGCTACAAACATTTAAAAACTTTGTTGCTATACTTTTAAAAACAAATCACATAAGTTACCTCCCTTGCATAGAGGTAAAAGAATATTTTGAATTTACGGTGTTAACGCATAACACATCCAGGCAACCTCTGAAGATGGTCTCAGATGAAATTGAAACTACTTGGGAAAATAAAATCTTTTGAAAGAAAATTTTGGAATTATTTTTTTTAATGAATTTTCTACAGCCACCAAGAAATTAATTCCTGGACTTGAAAGGATTAACACTAAAACAGATAGACATAATACGTATGAATTATTTAACCAAACAAGCTTGAATGAAATTATTCTGCCCATATATATAAATCTCTACGCGTCAAGCCCTGTAAACCGCTTCAGCAGGGGAGGGCTAAATAACGTGAGGTTACCATCGAAAGACGCTGCAGTATTCTGTGCACTGGTAGTACCGGGGAGGTATAACTCCGTGATGATAAAACCTTAGGGTGTTGTTCATTGTGTTCGTGGCAAATATTTGCACCAACTCCTTGTTATCAGCACTTCCAATAAGTGTGGCTGATTCTACACAAGCCTTCACCATTCTAAACAAATCTTTTGTGTGGATAGTCTGCAGTTTAGTTCTGTGTTCCTTCTTTGCTATTCCACAGCAACAAGTCTAATGGCGAGAGATTTAAGGCGACTGGGACAGGTACAGGATTAAAAACTGAATTGAAAGACACTCATACGTCGAAAACGACGGGAGAGTCCATCATATATATATATATATATATATATATATATATATATTTCAATAAAGGTGCAATTAATTTACAAATTCATGAATTATTCATACAAAAAACAAATACAAAGGTTAATGATTTAATTGGCGAGAAATCCATCGTCGCGAACCATTCAAATAATATGCAAAAACCCCGAACCTGTTTATGAATGATTACAATACATATATTTTCGTTGTTCTCTTATTACTGAGAGTAAAAGCAACAACAACATCTGTTCCATACCTGAAGATGTCTGTAGGAACAGATGAAAGCTTGTAGTAAAAATAAGAACTAATGCAACAGAAATTTATAAAAACAAGGATCTTTTTCATTCATAAACAGGTTCGGGGTTTTGTATATTATTTGAATTGTTTGCGACGATGGATTTCTCGCCAATTAAATCATTAACCTTGTATTTGTTTTTGTATGAATAATTCATGAATTTGTAAATTAATTGCACCTTTATTGAAATATATATATATATATATATATATATATATATATATATATATATATATATATATATATATATGTACAAATGAAAGAAAGAACAGATGAAGAAAAATTCCACTGTTCGTAGCATTTACTTTTAACAAGTGCTCAATGCAAAGTAGAGCAATATATTATTATTTTTAATATAAGAGTTAAAAGGCGGGAAACGTAAGGTCAAAATTAAAATTATGCTCCCCCCGCCCCTTTAACTTAAGGCTAGAATTAAATGTAATGTCTCTCCATTTAACTTTCGAAAAAGAGATAACAATTCGTTTTTTAACTTTCCTTAAAAATCATTTAAGTACCAGTTACCAGCGTCTGAAGAAGTACAATCAAAATATTGAAACATCAAAGCTTTTGGGCAGCGACTTCAACATGTTTTTTTTTTTATTATAATCTTTTTATTATAATAAAAATATATTTATATATATATATATATATATATATATATATATATATATATATATATATATATATATATATATATATATATATATATATATATATATATATATATATATATATATATATATATATATATATATATATATATATATATATATATATATACACGTGTGTATGTGGAGGCACTTCGACGTGGTGTAATGGTTGTAAGCTTGTTTCTCTAGAACAATTACGACCGAGTAGTGAATTCGATCCTCGCTGGGTGCCCCATTCTTTCGGCCTTGTGCCACATCTAAGCTACGCTTGGAAGATCAGTGTAGCACCTCGGCGTGGTGTTGTGGTTAGCAGGCTTGTCTCGCTAAAACAATTGGGGAGTGAGTTCGATCCTCACTGGCTACCCTATACTTTCGGCCTTCTGCCACATCTAAACTACGCTTAGAAAATCAGTATATATATATATGTGTGTGTGTGTGTGTGTGTGTGTGTGTGTTACCTCAGTATTTATATGTGTGTGTGTATGTATGTGAGCGCTTGAGTCATAAATAATTTCCACCCTTGTTTACCTACTTTATTCATAAAAAATAAAGTATAATCATATTTTATTATATATTCGCCATTTTTAGCAAAGACGCTTCATAAGGAAGCTTTTAGATATCTTTTGAGTAAAATTCCACAGATTTTGATATGGAAATGTTTTCAGTCAACTCTCGAATCTGGTTTTTATCCGAGAAAGATTTGCCCTGTTAAAAGGGTTCGTCAAAAAACGTGATTGATTGATTGGTTGGTTGGTTTATTCGTTTCTTTTACGGATTATCAACCTTTTTCAGGTTATTTTAAAGTCATGTTTTCGTTGTTATAGTTACATTAAAAATCCAAATTTAAAAAAGATAGACGCTTGTGTCTAAGCCTTTTTTCTGGTTAATGTAAATTACCTTTATAGTAAGGGATTATTATTAATATTTATTTTTTTTTTTAAGCATTACGCCCCAAGCAAGGCGTGAAGCCACTAGGATGCAGGGGGTTGCGGAAGATTTGGAGCGAGAGCAGATAAGAGTGATAGGAGAAAGGAAGAGGAGAAGGATAGTGGGTAGATCAAGGTAATTGGAGATGTCGATTGACATTACATTTGAATAGTTGGAGATTATAGCTTTCAGGGAAACAGTAATTGGGGAGGGTGTTCTACTGGCTAGAGGTGCGAGGTATGAAGCTATTGAAGTAGAAGAGACGGCTACATTTGAAGGTTTCTACGGTGTAAGGGTGAGAGCGGGATGCCAGCCTCGTAGGGCGCTTGAATTCATGGAGTTTGGGAACCAGAGAGAGCAGCTCATCAGAGCAGTTACCATGGAAGTATTTGTAGAAAAGACAGAGAGAGGCGACGGCGCGTCTGTGAGAGAGTGACTGCAGACAAGATGCTAGATCAGGGCCAATTAGATTACATATCCTTCTCTGGATCTTGTCAAGAACTCCGAGGTAAGCAGAAGGTGCTCCAGCCCATATATGGCAGCAATACTCCATGCAAGGGCGAATGGTTGTTTTGTATATTTGAAGTATCGATTCAGGGGAGAAAAATTTCCTGGCGCGGCACAGAGAGCCAAATTTTTCCATGTCGACAATATAGTTAAATTCCCAGATGAATTCTGTGGACAAGACCGATTGGTATCAAATGACAATTGGAAAAAAAATCTTACATAACAACAAAAACATTTCGATTTCATTTTTGCCTTGAAAAAGTCGGAAGACGAAACGCGTTGGCAAAATGTAAGATTTATTTTCCAATTGTCATTTGATACCAATCTGTCTTGTCCACAGAATTCATCTGGGAATTTATATATATATATATATATATATATATATATATATATATATATATATATATATATTATATTTTATATTTATAGAAATATAAAAGTGAACATTGAAGTCAACACTCAGAGGCGACAGGCTTTTTCATGCTAGACGCAATCTATATTTATGAGAACGTGTTCAGTATCATCAAGGATAGATCATATGATGTAAATATAAAAGTGGACATTGAAGTCGACACCCAGAGGCGAGTGTCTGTTTCATGCTAGACGCAATCGTCATGCACACGGCGTGATGATTGCGTCGAGCATGAAACAGCCTGTCGCCTCTGAGTGTTGACTTCAATGTTCACTTTTACATTTATATTGACATACGCTCTATCTCTGAAATTGAACACTTTATCCCATAAATATGGCACACGTTAAAACTATATTTCTTCATATATATTTATATATGTGTGTGTGTGTGTGAGTCACAAATAATTCCGTTTTTATTTATCCAAACTTTAAAATTAATGTATAGCTACATTTTATTGAGTTCTATATTCGCCATTATTTGCAATGACATTTTGCCAATTACCAGGCACCTGTTCGATGTAAAATTCCGCAAGTTTAGATGAGATAAATATTTCGACCAAATAATGAAACTGGTTCTTATTAGAAAAACTTTTCCCCGTCGGTCATATCAAGTTGTAACACCGGTTCCCGTACGATAACCGAAGTTAAGCAACGTCGAGCCTGGTCAGTACCTAGAGGGGTGACCTTTTGATAATAACAGGGGCTGTACGCTTGGATATACAGGCGGTATAAAGCGTTTACGTCCATATCACGTTGAAAAACCAGTTCTCGTACGATCACCGAAGTTAAGCAACATCAAGCCTGGTCAGTACCTAGATGGGTGACCGCTTGCTAATACCAGCCGCTGTACGTCTGGATATACAGGTGGTATAAAGTGTTTACGGTCATATCACGTTGAAACACCAGTTCTCGTACGATCACCGAAGTTAAGCAACATCGAGCCTGGTCAGTACCTAGATGGGTTATCGCTTGCTAATACCAGCCGCTGTACGCTTGGATATACAGGTGGTATGAAGTGTTTACGGCCATATCACGTTGAAACACCAGTTCTCGTATGATCACCGACGTTAAGCAACGTCGAGCCTAGTCAGTACCTTGATGGGTGACCGCTTGCTAATAACAGGCGCTGTGCGTCTGGATATACAGGTGGTATAAAGCGTTTATTGCTATATCATGTTGAAACACCGGTTCCCGTGCGATCCATGACGTTGAGCAACGTCGAACTTGGTCACTACCTAGATGGGTGATTGCTCGGAAATAACAGGTGCTGTTATCTTGGATGCATGGCTCGGAATGGGAAATCCCAGAGCTGTCTTCGAATTCCAATCGGGTTCGTTATATTTACTTACGCGCAAATACCAATGGGTAAAAAAGACTGTGTTTCATGACCAGCCATTCGGCGCTTTTTGTTGCTGATAACATTGTATTCTCATTGGATGTTCAAGATTCAACGAAGATTTTTCTGGCGAATGCGTTCTGATGTTTGGATGTCACAACGATAGAGACTCAAGGTTTCGCAAACCTATAGCAAGCTTAAAATAACAAAAGTATTATAAACCATAATTTTTCTTGCTACATTCAGTGGGAAGATCTTGTTGCTGAAAACGCGTTTGATTAACTTTCCAATTGTGTCTGTCACATCATTTTCCGGGGTGCATGTGTTCGGTAAATAGGCTGCCTAGATATAAAAAAAAATGCTCTACTTATTCGAGAGGTTTGTCACAGATGGTAATATCAAATTCTGATAAGATGGTATTTGGGGTTGGTTGATTGTTTTGGTAATTTACCCACGCACACATGGACTCTCCATAGATAGATAGATATTGTGCGTGTGTATATTTTGGCAACATGTTTTCATTAAATAATTCAAGATATAAATATATAAATAGGAGCAGGTACTGCCTTTTGGAGGGGGGAGTTTCCAGCAGTCAGCTCTGACAGTCGGACCGAACATTCTTGCTGTAACACTCTCGTTTGTATATGTATTATTGTTTCTGTTAATATATTTGTTTAATTCAATCCCTCTCTTTGTGTCTTTATTTCTGGCCCCTAACAAGGCCACAACAGATAGGATAAGAAACATCTCTATGATTCTTGATTAGATGATGAAAATCATCTGAATGAGTTTTTATTAGATTTTGTAAAACATTTGCATGATTCTTTGATTAGATGATAAGACCCATCTGCAAGATTTGTTGATAATTAATTAATTGATGAATGTCATAGATGTTATTTACGATACTTGTGGCATGCCAATACCTCAAGCGACCCCGGAGCAATGCCGTTTAAAGAGGAAAAGGAAAATGACGGATTTAATCGTCGTTAACCCAAAGAAAAAACGTATTAAGACTACTGCAAAGTTAATACTTAGGAGGGGGTGTTATGGTAATTTACTCACGCACGCATGAACTCTCCCATTTATAAATAGGAGCAGGTACTGCCTTTTGGAGGGTGAAGTTTTCAGCAGTCAGCTCTGAGAGTCGGACCGAACATTCTTGCTGTAACACTCTCGTTTGTACATGTTTGTATTACTGTTTCTGTTAACATATTTGTTTAACTCAATTCCTCTTTTGTGTCTTTATTCCTGACCCTAACAGGGCCACAACACTGAGCAAGGACCTTGGTTTTCTTGATGTTTACTGTAAGGGAAGGAAGTCCGTAGCAAAAGTTGTTCACAGACTGTTGAAGTTCTTCTTAAATTATATATATATATATATATATATATATATATATATATATATATATATATATATATATTCATGAATTATTCACACAAAAACAAATGCAAAGGTTAATGATTTAATTATGAGAAATCCATCGTCGCAAAACAATTCTAATAATATACAAAAACCTCCGAATCCGTTATGAATGAATTGATCCTTGTTTCCATAAATTTCTGCCGTATTAGTTGTTATTTTTACTACAAGCTTTCGTCTGTTCCTACAGACATCTTCAGGTATGGAATAGATGTTGTTCTTGTTTTTTCTCTTAGTAATAAGAGGACAACGAAAATATATGTATTGTTGTATCCGAAAATGCTATTGGAAATGAGTTATTGTTTTTGGAGCGTGCAGTAGCAACGCTGAGTTTGATTTTAATTTTTTTACAGTTGTGCGTTCATGTACAAATATGGTGATAAACGAATTTTTTACTGGTAAATTTTCTGTCAAAGTGGCATGAACTATATTGTTCAATAATTACAGTAATGTCGCACTTATTATCCAAAAGTCGCACTTGGATCAGTTATTTTAATTTCGATAAACGTGCAATCAATTTACAAATTCATGAATTATTCACACAAAAACAAATGCAAAGGTTAATGATTTAATTGGCGAGAAATCCATCGTCGCAAACAATTCAAATAATATACAAAAACCTAAGACGAAAGCTTGTAGTAAAAATAAGAACTAATGCGGCAGAAATTTATAGAAACAAGGATCTTTTCATTCATAACGGGTTCGGAGGTTCGTCTATCTTTTTAATTTTGAATTTTAATGTAACTATAACAACAAAAACATTTCAATTTCATTTTTGCCTTGAAAAAGTCGGAAGACGAAACGCGTCGGCAAAATGTATGATTTTTTTCCAATTGTCATTTGATACAAATCTGTCTTGTCCACAGAATTCATCTGGGAATTTAACTATATAGAATATTATGTTCATTATATTTTTATGTCATAGGGTGATCTTATGTCATGGGGTGATTTTTGTAGGTTCCTTGGGTGTATGCAGTGTTATGGTATATGGCGGATTGAATGATGATGGATGCGTTCTTGTGGTGGATGTGCAAATTGTATCGAGTGAGCAGGTCGTGAAACTGATTAGTCAGGTATATGATAGTAAGTAAAGACCATCCTCAATCCATTCCCTTCTTTTAGGCCTTGTGCCAAAATTGTGCATGTTTATATTGTTATGAGACCTTACCCATAATAACATAATGGAGTATTCCATACGTAATAAATACTGCGCCTCAAGAGGAAGCAGGGATTCCAGTCCGAAGTCGAACGACCGGCTGATCGGTTGAACTCTCTGCCTTCGGGCGGGGAGGAACCCGAACGAGGCTACGCCGAAGGGCGGATTCTCTTTCGGAGAGGTAAACCGACCCTGAACCCGTTTATACGGGTTCAAAGGGCATATTTCTTGGCCGAGCCCACGGGCACGAAGATCCCACGTTAAACCGGCCTTGTGCCACATGATGCTCTCGTGGTGGTGGTGCGGGGGTTGACTAAATACCGTTCATTCTGAAGTCTGGAGTGAAGTCCGTCAGGAGTCTGTCAGTCAGTCAGAGCAAGCGAGTCAGTCAGTCAAGTCAGAGGCAGTCCGAAACAGAGTCGCGTTAAGACAATTACTACAAGACATTGAAATAGTGATACTGGTCGAGACTACATTGTTCTCTCTACTAAACCTGATTGTTCGTACTAACACTTTCTATTTCTCTGTATATATTCCTGTTTGTAATATATCGGTGTTATTCCATATCCGTGTTCGAGTTCTTCTTTATTGGTTCTACCTTGGACCATCACCGTGGTACAAGGACTTAGATCATAACATATATACAATAAATATCAGTGCCTGGTCGTGATGTCTCTTATCCGTCTTTTGCGTGTCTTTAATCATGGACATCAATCTACCGATGCGTTTATCTATGACACCCGCATTCCAGAACTCTTTACCGTACCTATATTCTTTGAAAAAAAATATTTTCCCCTGGTGTATATGATTTTGTAATTGTGTTTTCTTTCTTTTTATTTTCCTTTGGTAACAGCTTGTCGAATACCGATTTTATTTTCCACGCGAACATTAATTCTGCCGGTGACAAACCTGAATTTGGACTTGGGTGGGATGTCAACCGATATACTTTTAAGAATTGTACTCGTCAACTGATTCGGTTCCGCCTGACTTTTCCAATGCTCGCTTGAAATTATCCACGAATCTTTCTGCTTGGCCATTAGATCGTTGATGATACGGTGCGATAGTCAGATGTACAACTGAAAAAAAATTATAAAAATATTTGAACTCTTACACCGTGAATTGCGTGCCATTGTCTCACACAATCGTATCTGAAACACCAGATCTTGCAAAAAAATTTTTCGTACGTTGGATTTTTTAAATTTTATCACCTTTGGCCATTTCGAAAAACTATCACCCACATTAAAATAGCATTGTCCCTTTCGAAAAGCCGAGTTCGAATTCCAGTCGAATCCATTCGCTTACCTACTAACACCCTTGGGAAAGGTATGAATCCTCTTCTTCTCCTCAACCTCCAGCTATTAGTAAATAGCAGGACAGATCGGGTTCTATAGCTGTGGATGGAAATTGGTCTACCGAAGAAAGAAATGGCAACCTACTGCGAGGAGAAAAAGTCTGCCTCGTCAGTCGTGTATCGAAAGATACATGATCGCCTAAGCGTGTATCACGCATGGCATATAACTGATTGAAGAATCAGAGAGCCAAGTTCGAATTCCAGTCGAATCCATTACATTCACTTACGTGCTAATACCCTTGGGAAAGGTATGAATCCTCTTCTTCGAAAGCTATGGGTAAATAGCAGGAGAGACCGGGTTCTGTAGCCTTGGATGGCAACTGGTCTACCGCAAAAAGAAATGGCATAAGCCATCAGCACGACCCAACCTCTTTGCCGGAAGGAACTCAATGTTAAAATTATAATTTAATAATGTTGTTTCTTATCTCTGAAGTCGATTTGCCGGATGTGTAGGAATCCCTTTTTTGGAACCAAAAATAGACAATAACGGTAGAAGCGTAAAACTCCTTCCATGTATGAATCTATGGAACCTTTTTTACTGCAAAAATTATCCCTAAAGCCGCTTTTTTCAGTTCGGCTGTATCCTTTTTCAGGTGTCAAACGGGTCCTTGACGCATGTGCAACTGTTTTTACTTGGCCGTTGCTTTCTTTGTCTAATATTACAGCTCCTAAGCCCAAATTACAAGCATCACTTGCGACAATATCCCTATTTGGATCGTAATGCGTCAGGCTTAAGTCTGATGTTAATATTGTTTTAATTTCCTCAAAAGCGCTCAGACATTCCGTAATCCAGTGCCATTTGGAATCTTTTTTTAACAATTTGTTTAGAGGAGCTCTCAATACGTGTATATTTGGGATAAAATTAAC